CACACCCCACCAATCTGGTCTGCTAAGGGTGCAAGTGTCCTCGTGGCCTCTTCTTTGCAGGACCTGAAACACATATTTAGGCACTCAGCAGAGTCACGTTACAACTTGCAAAGTCTCTTGACAAATGTGTTAACTATCACCAGCAAGCCATCAGCTCACTGCTAACTTCTCTGAGATACTTATGCTCCCTATGGGCCAAATCCATAGGCTGCGAAATGGTCCCAAGTAGAATGAAAAGCTTTACTGTTACTTTCCAAAGACCGCATGTGAGGCATTGAAAGTAGCAGCACCATTCCTCTACTCTTCCTGCAAATCCTGCAAGATCCTCATGGATTAACAAGTCCTCATAGATTTGTTAATGCTTCCTGTTGTCCGTGGCCACAGCTTAAAAGATAGACTGGAGAACAACGTTGTGCATTCATCTGGACCTGTGTGAACTTGTCGACGCAAGGAGTTTCATATGAAACCCAGTGAGGACAGAGTTTGGTCCTGTGAATGCTAGTGTTATTTTAAAAAGGACCTATTTTATTTTGCAGGGACTTAGAATAATGCATTTTACATTGATTTTACCACTGTTGTAGATTACTTTGTGGGCCAATTAATTTCAAGGGTAAGCAAATAGCTGACGGTTTTGCTTGCAAATCACTTTTTCTGCTGAATTTTAAGCAATGGGCTTATTCGTTAGAAAACATAGTAAGGAAAAAAATTACCATGTTTCTGAAACTGGAAAATCATTCAACACATTAGTTTGGGTGGATCTGCATACTGCTGTACACCAGACAAATATATTCTGTACCTAATTATTTATCATCTTTGAGGCTACTTTTCCACTGTTGCAATATTCCTCATCTCTTTCTCATAGTAGCTGATAGATGATATTTTAAATGCTCCTTTAAAGTGCAGGAAAATTATTTTTCCAATTATTATTGCTCTCTTCAGTCTCAGGAATATGAAGGCTACAGGTCAACTGTCCTTGAAAAGCCTGTTAACTAATAACCCTCTATATAAATAGTATTAAGTATCTCCAGGTGAAGTTATCTTACCAACGGTACCTTGTTACTCTTCTGGCTCCACGCAGAGATCATTGTGTGATAGGATAAAGTTTGCCTCTCTTCACTTTCTTTTCATGCCTGAGCCAAACTTTCCTTCTACTCAAAAGACCGAGAAAAAAGTTTCCTGGCTGCAAGGCATTTACATGAAAAACATCCCTGATGGTTCGAATTTTTAAAAATGAAATTAAAAATTAAAAAAGTGAAGAAAGTGCATCCACCCACAACCTTGAATCACCGAGAGAACATAAATAAGGACTATATAGCCAAGAGCCATGTGAGTGGGATTAGCAAACTGTCACCCAATGCATACATTAAAGAGCAAAAGGGATAGAAGATTCCTACAATCTACAAATTTTTGTGTAATTACCATTACTAATCTGTGCAACCTCATGTCAGTATAGATTGTTACGGAGTGAAACATAACTTCAGTGAGAGTACAAAATATTGGTGTTTCTATTCCTTTGCTGAGAAGCCTTCAAGGACTAAATACCAAGATCTTAGCAGAAGGAGTCAGTTCCACAAAACTGCACTCACAAAGATAAAATTATTTAATACCCGTAATGAAGAAGTCATTGCTAGTGCTAGATCATCTGATGTCCCTAAATGTCCAATGTCCATACCACTGCTTGGGTAGACACAGTTCAATTTTGGGCTGAGGCAGATAACTATAAATGAAAGAGTTAACACATCTTTAAAAGTTGCTGCCTCTCATCTGCAACCTTCATTGTAGTTAAAGCTGCCTTACTTTACTTAGTAGACTACAGCTATGCATAGTACCTGCATTTCAGCTTAAGACCAGTACCTTGTCAGGATACACTGCTTAATCACTTGTGATCTGACCATGCCTATACAAACCTTCCAAAACAAAAAACTAACATTGGCTAGATGAGATTTACAACTCTCTGAACTTCAGGCTCAGAAAGGAGTGCAAGCACTGTACACACAATCCTCTTTCTTCATTGTATGGTACGGGCAAGAGTGAAGCCAAGAAAGCTGACCACATTCCCTTCCAGGACTCATCCCTGGCTTCTAAAATTCAACAGCAATGTTTTGGAGACTTGAGCCTCCACGTTCATTGTAGCCTGTAGTGATTTCTCTGGCAAAATTTCATCTATCATTTTGTGTAAATGATCATAATGACCTATCTTTTTATCTGTGTTACCAAAGATGCTCTTCTTTTGAGCGTATGTGATTCCTGTTAGTACTAACGAGAATGTTACACACACACAGAGAATGGTAGAATGGTCCATGAAGCATTCTAAAAGTGATATTAATTTCTCCTTGTGGGTGACTTTGTCCTCCTAACAACAATAAAGCCACTATGCTTTATAAAATGCAAAAAAAGTCTCTTTAAGGTTAGAACAGGTTGTTATTCTAACTTGTGTGAATTTTCATCCAAACTACTAAAATTTGGTAGCTGAGACATGCCCCAGACTTTAAAGTACAATCTGAAAATGCTGCCTAAGCTTTTCGTCACTTTCTCCTCCTTCTCTCTCTCTCTACAGTAACAATTTAATTTAACAAGCAAAAGACACACAGAAAAACAATGGGAGATGCACTGCCTATTCATCAAGGCAAATTCATAATTTGGGGGAAAAATTAAAATTAAAATAAAAATCACCTTTTATCATTACATAGAAAATCCTGTTTTTGCAAAGGGGTTCTAGTTTCTGAATTAAGGTCACTGAAGTGGAAATCAGTATATACTCCCCATCTTCACAACTCATTTCCAAACAATGAGGATTTCTGCAGCCATAACTATCAAACACTCATCCTCATGAACTCAGAGGCTCCACATAACCAACGTATTCCAAATCCCAAGCTGATCCATTCTGAATATGTACAGTATTATTGCTACAATGCAGTGCTTGGGGATACTGTGCTGTGAAAGCAGTCCTTAAAAAGATATTACAACAGTTTAAAGGCATTTATTTACCCTGAATAGTTAAAAGTTTCTTATAGGATCACCTATATTTCAATAGCTATAGAAGTGCCTATTGCTGTGACCGAAGCCTTAACTGTTCTCTTACCTCAGGGGCTGCTCAGTCTGCAAGCAAATTGTTATTCTTCAAAGACATTTTCTATTGTTGTAGGTTTGTTATAAACTAACCCTTTGAGAAAATTTACAGCAAACGTAAAAATTTTATTCACTCTCTTCAGGTACAAATTCAAACAGAAATCCTTGAAGATAACAGACTTAGTGGAAAGTGGAATAAAATCTATCATGGATTTAACAGAGCTGCAGGATGCAAGAGAAACCTTGCAAGGATTTCCATTAAGATAATTTATTTTCTTGATAAATAAAATGCCACGAATCTAGTTTGATCTATATATTAAAGCATATATTTATATCTATACATTTATTTTAATACCACAGAGATTTTCTTATCTAACTGGAGAAGATAAGGATGGTGGTAAGGAACTCACTGAAGAGTGAACAATGTCACTTTCTGTTCAGAATGAGGTATGATGGAGGTCCTCCCCTGCCAGCGGACTATGGCCTTGCAAAGAGGCACACAGAAAACCCCAGCACAGGGGACGGACAGCACTTCATGACCTCAGCCTGTGGAAGAGAGAGTAACAAGGGGTGATGTTCAGCAGCTCAGACTTCCAGGTCAGCTCTGAGGTAGCATTGGTAAGGGTGTACACTATCAGCAGGAAGGCAAGAGCTGAAAAGAAGCAAGCCTAGGCTATTAGTCAAACCCTCACTGACTGTGAATTGCTAACATGATGCAGCTACGTAAAAGGCAAAAGCAACACAAGCCACAGAAAGCGAACTATTTGCAGCAGAGATGTGAAAGTGGTAATCATAGTCTAGAAAACTGGCAATGGCATATGTCAAATAAAGTGCATAATTCTGGCAACCCTTGTTCAGAAAAAGATTCACCTAAATTGCAGTGGATGCAAAGAGGGCTACACAGATAAGTAGGGAAAAAGATGAAGAGGTCGTGGTTATTTTATATCTATTGAAATGTCGGCTGAGTGAAGGAAAACACATCAGGGTCATACTAATGAGGGGATAAAAGAACACAGTTAAGTGAGATATAGGTATAATCAGGACACAAATCAGTTCAGCCTGCATATCAGCATATCATCTCATCAGAGGAATGAGTGTCTGCAACAATCTTTTGTTAGAAATTGTATGGCAAAACTGCAATTTTAAGACAGAAGGGATCAGTCTCTGAACTAGATTGTAGGAGGCAGTGCCTCCTGAACAAAGCCTGGATACAATGACCCACAGGTTTTAGCCCCACAAAAATTTAACAGCTGGAAGCAAACTGAAATCTGATAGATTACCAGCACACTGCTTACAAATGCTGTTATTCCAGAACAAAAGGTGTGCATAAATTAAGCCACTTACATAGAGAACACACCAGATATCTGTGATGCTGATCTCTTCTACAAAGAGAGCTTCTGGACAAGCCTTCAATTTTGCTATTGCTCAGAAGGGCAGTGCTGGAGTCAGATGCCAGACAACAGCATTAGAAGAAACAGCAATTCTCCAAAAAGAGACAGGCATATATTACAGCATTTGTACATTGAGTCAGAAAAGGCTGTAAATCAACCCAAGATCCTCTGGAATGAAGCTGTTTTAGAAATGTAAAATCTCTGTCATCAGCTAAGGATCTAGGAAGGCAAGTCATTCATTTGGGCTCTATTTCATAATCCCATGCTATCAAACTTATGGTCTATTTTTCCTTCTCCTCAGTGAAGCTGAGTGCCCCTTCCAGGCAGCTATTGCAGGGCGTGTAACGTACTGCTCTCCTTCTTATGCTCCCCATGAGAAAAATTTAATCAGATGCATGTTCTGGTTCAGTTCTCAACTCTGCCACAAATTCCCTGTACGACCACCGGCAAATAACATATTTTCTTTGCATTTATCATCAAAAAGAAAAAAAAAAAAAAGAAAAATAACTTTTCTCTAAAATTCTTGTTTGACCACATAGATCAGAACAGCTCATTGATGGCTTTTTACTATGCTTTTATACAGAAATTACCCAATAAATAAATACCAGTTATGGGTCAACATTGTACAAACAGTAAACAAAAACCATCTTCACTGATGATACTCTTGAACAGATATACACAGAAATAATAGAAAGAGTAAAGGTACTTTTAAAATTTAATCAGAAAATTGAAACAATGAAAAAAAATTAGGAATGTAGAGCTCGTTCGGGCAAGCAGAGTCTTTCAGGTAGAATACCTGTTCAGCTGTCCATGCACAGAGCGGAACATTTCTTGTTTACTTATCACCAAGTACACTGACCACTATGATCCCAGCTGTAATCAAATGCATAATTGAAAGTGAGCTAAATCAGAGAAGTCAAAACCAAAAAACACAGGGCTAGATCTTTCCACCACTACCTGCTATGGAATTACCTGGCTGAATACTCCCATCCACTCCAGTAAATCAAAGGCCAGCAATTATTACTCTGAGCAGCTCCACACTGCTGATAGTATCTTTCCCACAAACTAGAAAGCTTATGCACAATGATCTAAATTAGTACAACACACTCATTTTGGTTTCTTTCCTGGCTATGTAAAAATTAGATTTACATTGTTACACTCACATTTACATAAAGCATAACAATGAGTTCAGTAGCTGGGTCAGCAGCAGTTCATCTGCATGATATCCATCTGCATCATTGCATTCTCAGTCGGTTTTAATGCATCTTAAGACACAAAATGATGTAATGGGAATCAGCCTGGCTACAGCTTCGCTTCTACTTACTGTTCTATTTATGAAGACTGATGACAAAAAACTGTAACAGGCAAATAAGAAAAACAGTATGAAATGCATCTACAATAATATGAAACAATTATGTGTCACAAAATGTAATCACTTGGAAATTCAGTCTGTCAAAGAACTGGACATTTAATTATTATAATCATTCTAAACAAGAACTAATTGAAAGTGAAGATTCACTTTTATCTAGAATTTTGTTCATGAATTTTAAGTAAGTTACCTACTAGGACTTATAACCAAAGCTATGAAAATCTGAACAAATTACTCTCCTTCCAGTAAGCCCTCCTTATGCAGTACAAGCATGCTCTCCTTTTTTCAGGCATCTGAATGAATATTTCTAGCTAATGGCTAAATTCTTTCCCATATCTAGATTCAAAGAGGCAAGGAATATGTATACTTTGCTATTCCCCTAGAGAATGGATTTATTTTAAGAAAAACTATGTCTGCTTTCAAATTTTGTCTCTTCCTCATGCTTCCCTGCCATCACTTATGAATGTAAAAGTTAAAGTACCTAGAACTATCTAAAGAAATAAATTTACTTGCACAGATATAACCAAAGTATGCCCCACAATAATTGTTACTAATTGAAATGCTATCTTTTCACCTTCAAACAACCTTGATAGTTACTAAATCACAGTTGAAAATACACAAAGACATTTACTCACTCAGCATTGGGATCAGCTTTGTATTTTTCTGTTGTACTGTGAGAACTACCTCACATAAATCCATATTGGTTGTAACGTAAGCTTTTTTTCTATGACCACTTAAATTACTTTCATGATCTAAACTCATTTAAAGCAATTTTACATATCTTAATGTCATAAAGTCTTATCATTGATGCACTGCAGAAGTCCAGGTGTATGCTTCTATGAATTGCTGCTAGGTGTCAGAACCTGAAGAATCCAAGGTGCATTTCAGGTAGAACCAAATCTCCTTGTGTTTTCTTGCAAAAAAAAAAAAAATCTTGTATTGTTCTGTATAGCAAAATCCAGATTCAGGAACTGCAACCACAGTTGAAAGGAGTATTGTTCTTTTCACTGACTTTTTGTAAGTTCAAAGAATTAAGTCAATAGCATCATCACCAAAAAAAGGGTCTGTCTGACAGCCAAGCAACACAGTCGCACGTGCCATTGTGCTGGTAGTGACCCACGGGTTTATTCTTTGCTACCGTGTTACCTATAAAAGAAGAGTAAACAGTTACCTACACAGAATCAATCAAGGATGATAAAACAAGCTTGGTTGCTGCAAAGGAACTGTATAAAGAATGCATCATGAAGGAACTGGTCCCAGTCAGACCTACATAACTTGCACAGAAACAGACTCCAGATGCAAATGTTAACTAGACTGTTGTTCAATCAGATAAAGAAGACTTGCAGATAAAGAAATGGCTGTTTATTATTAAACTGCCAACAACACCTTATGGAAATCTTCTTCTGCTTTATTTTGCTTAGAGTCATTTTCAACAGCAATGCCTATGGCACGAGAGTATGCCTTACACCCCCAAAGACCATTCATGCAAAGTGCTACCCATTCCCAGCTGTCCATCTTATGGAAGGCAACTACAGATCAGTCGGTTTGGCTACACACTAAGGAGGAGTCACATCAGATTTCCCATCATGAAAATGGATGAGAATAGGTAGCCTGCAAGGCTTGTTTGCAGGGTTTGTCAACCCTGCTCTGTAGTGTCTAGACACATTACAAAACTTCACAGACATGTTGCACAGAGAAGTTTTTATTTCCCTCCCCAAGGTAACTGGTGTAAAACACAAGCTCTTCAACTTTCCACATTTTAACTGTCTCACTCAGCAACTAACTATTCACCTAAACACTGAGTGGCATCAGGAGTCTCCCATGTTTCATATACTTCAATTATTCTCGTATTTTCACAAAATAAAAAGATAGAAGTCTTAAAAGTGATTACTTGGCATTTCCTCCTTCAGTGTATAATTAACCTGTGGAACTCATTGTCCCAGCTAGCTCTGATCCCGAGGTCTTAGTAAGCTTTAAAAATTGATTAGAAATTTAAATGGTAATGAGATCATCTTTGCTACATAACACAGAAAAAAAAAATTAATATGGAATGGATCTCAACTCTCATGCTTTAGATATCAGCCAAATATTAAATTGGAAGAATTTCATGTATGGGTACATTTTCTGTAATTGTCCACAAGGGTTTTGCTGTATCTTTCTTATTTAAGTATCCCAGCACTGAGCCACACAGGCTGATTTATGGTTTGGACTACTGGTCACAATCAGATATGACAGTCCTCTACTTGTGCCAAGTTTTAATAATGCATTTAATACATATTTTACTGATTGAGCTGAGTGTGAACAAATCTTTGGTTCATTTTTAAATCAAAAAATAAATTATACAATACTTTACTTTTCTTTCTAGCAAGGGAATCTTTTTTTCCATCCTCTCTACTCCTTTCCATTCTCTTTGCCGACCAACATTGCATGTCCCACAAACTTCTGTTCAGAATTTGCAGTTACCATTACTCATTATATTTGTCCAACATTTGTAACTTCGTAGACAGAGGAAAACACCCACAGGACATGCAGAATATCTACAGAAGAAATATGGATGCAGGAACAAATTCTGTGGCACAGCTTCTGATGTGTAGCAAGCAGACATTTACATGTATGTGTACGCTTGTCACCTGGGTCTTTTTTAAGAAGAGAGAAAGAAGTAGTCTCTGTGAATACTCTTGTAGATGGGCACAGTCATGCTATGAAATTACCCATTTCTCTCCGTGTGACTTTGGAGAATCCTACATGTAAACAACTCAGCTTGGGTGGAACCATGCCTGCAGTGGGGCAGAATGAATCCAGTGGTCTTTGAGAAACCTGATCTAGTGGGAGGTGGCCCCTGTTCCCTTCTCTAACATGGCCAATCACTAGTTGAATTTCAAGACTCTCTTTCATCATTTCACTGAGATGTTTAACCACTAATGATTTCTGTTGTTGCAGTACTCCAAGACTCCAATCAGAACCAGGATCTCCCTTAAACTGTTGGTAAGCACTTGCACAATAAAATACAGTCCTACCTTAACGTGCTAAAATCTAAAATAAAAAGGCAGCAAAAGGAAAGCAAAAACATGTAAAGGAAAGTATGAACAGCTCTCATATCAGTAACACAGTAGAATGATTCAAATTTAAGCACAAGTGCCAGTTTGCTCATCCTTTCAATTAAATACCCCTCAATCTCCTATGGTGATAAAAATCAATGCAAAATGCATCACTCTGTGTCCCAGCAAAGTAGAGGACGAGCTTAATGAAATAACATTTGCACTCATATTGCTACACTCTGCCCTCTGTTAGACCCACACAAACTCGATGGAGTTGATGAATTTGCACAGGTCTAATTGCAGGCAGGATGATTTGTCCCACTCCAGCTTTATAAAGACATCCCTAAACTCATCAGAATGCATTACCATATTCTGTAGTTTGCTGGTTGCAATTTTTGTCATGGATAATAAAATAAATGATCCATGCCAAATTTGCCCTTCTATTAGTAAAATCCCACTGGCTCAGGCTGCTTCTTTTCACTGTTTAAGAGCAAGAGTCATGAACACAGGCTATATGACTCATGTGGTCAGTTGACCTCAATGAAGTGAAAGGCAACTGCTCATAGGAAGGAAGAGACAAATGCATGAACGAAGACTTAATGCCTCAGGCCTTCAGCCATCAATGCCAATGTAAAGTTCTTTCTTCTAGCCTTCACCACTCTAGAAACTCTTAAGGGGATCATGGATATTTAACCCTGGCTAATTCTTTTCCAATAAGGTCCTATTGGTACAAAGTGTCAGCTCTTTTCTGGCATGTCCAGAGATTAAGTTGTCTTATTCAATATACAGAAACTCCTACTTGTCTTTCTTACCCTTCGGTGTGATGCTACCACACTGCCTGTTACCTCTATATGAGTAGCTAAAGTCAGTGCCTGTGAAAAAAATTCAAAGGCTGAGGGTAATGTATACGTTGCAATAACTGACTTCCAGTTTCCCATACTGATTCTAGGGTCATCTTTCAGGTGCAGTATCAGTCACAGAGTACACAGCCGAGCCTAGGCAAGCCATAGACTACACCTTCAGCTTTTGGTAAATGATTCGCAATAACTTCTCTGTCTGCTCAGGGAGGATGGACATGATGACCTGCAGGAATTCCTTCCAACCTCTACCATTCGGTGATTCTGTGATCTTAAAAACAGCAATAGGGTTTTTCAGACCCTTTTTTTTTTTTTTTTAAAGTCAGTTTTCTCCAGTGAACCTGCCACCATATGCATGTGTGCATCTGGGCTCTGGACACTGGTGTCACACCACAGCTGCTCAAACCATCTAATTTTCCTTCTTTCATCCGGTATTAGTACAGTTTTCACTCCTTAGAACAACCATTATTAAGCAACATTTGGTGTCAGTATTTGCTTATTAACTCAGACTGTTACCTAATCAACAACATTCATTCCTATCTAGAAGAGGCTGGAAAGGGAAAAGCTAAGCATATGTCTTTGCTTGCTATTCCCTGCTGAAGACTCATGTTTTATGATACATTTAGAAATGCAGTTTGCTATGACTTGTTGAACTTCAATGCACTGAACTCATTTTAGATTGTTAAGCAGACAGAGAACATGATATTTTCTTTCTGCTGGCCATTAATTAAGAAATAGGATGGCACAGCAAAGCTTTGTTTAAAAAACAGGCTGTCTACATGACAGCCTGTAATTAGAAATTATCTGAACCAGCCTGATTTCCACTGGTGTTCAGTGTCCCACAGTTCCAGTGATGTCAGTACAAATTCTCAACAACTCCCAAGGCCATCATTCAAAGCTAAAAGGACTTTCCAGTAGCACAGGATTATAACTTTAGATGACACTGGTAAAAACCTCAGATCTATGTAGTCAGTCTGCAAGTTGAAGAATTGATCTTGGAACACGATTATCCCACTAGCAGTGATTCCAACTGAATTATTTCTTTGGTTTGACTCCAGTAACTTAATTAGGCTGGGAATGAAGGGGCAATTCCAACCCAGAATTTTCCTCCCTGAGAATGATTGCATTAATCACCACTTTCCAGAACACTGAGGAGTCCAGCACTGGTGCTCACACCTGCAGATGCAATGCAATAAGCAAATGCCACCAGCAGACTGCCACCTATATTTAAATAGGTGATCTCTGTACTTGCCTTTGTGGTTTTGACTTTATTTCCACTGCTGCAAGACCAACCTGAATAGTCTGGTAGTACTTTACAGTCCTCTCCATCCAAACAGGGGTTCATATGACACCACCACTTCTGTAGAACAATAGAAGCTTGAAAAAAGAAATGGGAAAGAGAAACAGAATACAATCTTTTTTAGTATTGTTGGGTTTTGTAGGGAGGTTGCATGTGTGCTGTTCAGTTGTTTGATTACAAAAAGTAGAACCCACAGTTACTGTTTTTGTGGCTTAGCACACTGACCGTGTTTGAGCTGAAGATGTGGCTAAAAAAAAAACATCACAAACATACAGAAGGATAAATGACATATGCAAATGGTGAAGATAGCCAAGCACTACTACAGTGTGTTTTGACTCCCATTTTTGAATTGACATCTGGAAGTGCCTTACCACTTCCACCATCTACAGAGGTGATTTCCTTCCTTCATTTGCATGCTCCAGCTATGTATCTGCTGTAAGGTGGTATGAAACTGAGGCTTCTCTTTTAACCCGGATATGCATATGTGAGGCTGGATGAAGAAATGCCAGTTTCTTCCTCCACTGGGTAAGAAAATAGAATTGCACAGATATGTAAGCATGTGAGTTCTGTCAGCAAATAGTGCAAATAAGGACATGGAAACCATTGGAAAATATTAGATAATTAACTGAAAATCTACTTGCAGTTACACTGCCAGTTTTGCAACGTGTTTCAGTAAGACTTCAGTAGTACACTAACTGTGCAAATGTATTAATTTTCTAGCCTTAAGCCAATTTCTGTTAATAAGACAATGTTTGTTATTTTTATAAACATAGTCATGACTTTTTAATACTGCTGGTAACATATAGTTTCCTACAAACTACTGCAAACTTTACTACTGCAAACTTCAGCATGTATTTCTCCGTTTTGCACTGTTCACAGGATTCATCAAATTCTAGAAAATGATTTTAAAATATATCAGTTCGTAATCGTACATAAACTAAATTGGATTTCAAAATAAAATATGGCAGAAAATGTTGATTTAGTCTGCATTATTCTACTATGTGCACAAAATATTGAACCGCATGCTTTAAAAGACACTACATCCAAAAGAGATGAACAAAAATAATTTCATCTACTTCTTGTAAAGCACTTTTTTTCCTTTTAATTTCAAGGTAGATTCATATTTCTACAACCTTCAAATTAGGGTGACAAGCAGGCAAGCTGACATCAGGATATTGCTGAAATGCTCATTCAATTACTTTTGTTTTGCACTTTCACTCTAAGACTACCTGAAGAGCACTATGAAAAATATATTTCTGAAACACCAGTTTGGCTTTTATAAATGATTTTTTCAATCTCCAAAAATTATAAAATGAATGCATGATTCCTGTCACCCATCATTTAAATCTTAGATCATTTCTATTGATGCTGGTTGATTGTTGATGACATGGATGAAACCTGGTGGTGCTTTCTAAGAGATGAGGTACCACTTCCACTCCAGATAAATAGTCCAGTAATTTATTTTATATCTTCTCTACTTTCTAAATTTGTTTCAACTTCTATACCAGATTTATTTCAGATAAACATGGCCAAGTGTAGAAGACTAGATTCAAGAAGACTGCAAGCATCTGCAGAGACCTCAGCACATGATTCTGGCAGTAAGCTGGTTGTGTCTTCAGAGCTCTGCTTCAAAGCCAGGAAGCCCTCCTGGGAGGTCTGGCTACCGCATCACACAGCTCCTCACAGTGCTGTTGTGAGCCTGAATGTGGTGACACGCTAAGAGTTTGCCTTCATTCTGACACATGAACCTTCTTTCATGTTTACAGTGCTACCTTAAAAACATAAGTTCAGCTTCAGACATTAAAAACCACCTCTCTCATTCAGCTCTCCCTTCAGATACCTAGAATCCCTGCTTCTAGTACCTGCTCATTAAAAAAGGCACTGGTTGACTGGTCAAAAATGTAGCACAGAAGCGGCTTCACACAGCACTCTGTGCCCATGTAACTTTCTGGTCCACGAGGTTCATGTGGAAATGAAGTACATAAGACAGTGAACCAAGCCCATCACTTCCAACGGTGCAATCTTTCATTAAAACAAGCACAGGTGAGAGTGGGAAACACTGTGGAGTCAATCTAACTCCAACAAGATCCACAAGCTTTTCAACAGACTGCTTATTTCACCTTCTATTCATCTCTTGTTTAGACACTTACAGAGAAAATGACCACTACTCTTCTGTTGACTGATTTCTATTCTGTGCTGAAATCTCTCTTCAAATTAATGGCAACACTTTGAAATACTTAATACAGATCTCATTCTATTAACTTTCAGCAAATTCCTCATTCTTTGCTGTAGCAAAGCACTGATTCTTGCATCCACTTTGTGTCCAATTTCTTTGTAGTTCTAATGACCACTCTGCTGACCTGTATGTCCTAAATGGCTGTAGCTGTTTGTATCAAGCACACTCCTGGGATTAGTCTATTAAAATTCTCCATCAGACCCTTACGCTCATCTTCAGAGCAAGAGTTCCTTAATGACTTGCACTTTTAACAGTGTGACTCTCTGAAGAATGTAAAGGTTTCCTCTTCTTTTCAGATTGAGGCACTCTTGGAGAGGTTTCAGCAGATGACTTTTCTAAGAAACGAGAGCAGTTATGTCATACTCATATACAACCACCCTCATGAAGAGAAAGGAGACTGCTTCAGTTTGACATTTGCCGGTCGATTTGCTGGTGGTTACCCCACCAGAAATAAATCTTCTGCTGACATCGTTCCCTAGCTGATGTGGCTCCATGGAAACAGTAGATTCATAAAGATTAAGGCCAAAAGGTGCCAATACATCATCTTGTCTTGCCTCGTGCAATTCACTGTGCTGTGCCCCTAGCTGTGTTTGGCTACACAGTGTCTTCCAAGCCATTTGGGTGCAGGTGAAGAAAGAAACTTCTCCCATTGACTTTTTTTTAATGGCATTAAATAATCTCAGCATGAAACAGCCTTGGTTTTCTTCCCTTTCAAACCTCTTCTTTTGTGCTTTCTTCTTCTGCATTACAGGACCAGTTAGCAATCATCATTTTCTCCCTGTGAAGGTATTGAACGTGTTGCAATCAAGTAACTTTTCAATCTTCTGCCTGATAAGCTGAGCTGATTGAACTTCTTCAGTTTCTCAACACAATGCATTTGTCTTTATTAACACAGAGTTCTTTCAAAGAGGTTCAACTTCCTCCTTGCAGGACCATGCCATGTGACTACCTTGGGCTTGTTATTACTTGTTCCTTTGCCCCATCAGGTGAAATCCATACATTTTTTGTCGGGATAGGTTCTATATTTGCTTTCAGGTCACCACTGAAAATGTTTCAGAGGGGCAGATGTAGAGCTAAGTACCATGAAATCTCAGTATGTATGTGCCATTTGACTACCAATTCCTCCTGCTGACTCTGTGGAGATGAACGTTTTTGAGGTATGCTAGTAGATCTTGGTTAGTAGGTTCTCTAATTAACAAACTAGAAAATTCTTCACCATTCTATTTCTTACCAAAAGCAGAACAGTGGTACTAATCCGCCTCAGTATTAGCAATTTCAATATTTCACATACTATGGGCCGATAATTTTATTTACTGTTATTTAATAATTTCTTTGTATTCTACTTTAACAAACAAATTCATGTTGTCTGTAGTTGGGACAAATATAGATGACTTTCCTACCTCATTGGATTAAGCTGTCCATACAAATTTGCAATACACTATTCATTCTATTTTTTGTTGTGTTTTTTTTTGTTGTTGTTGTTTTTTTCCTCTCTTTGAATACTGACACAGCATTAGCATCCTTTTGAGTACTCAAATATTCTGAAATACATTCAAAACCAGTGGGAGGGAAATCTTCTCAGCAATTTGTACTTTTATCTGTTTGCTATGCATTGTTTTTTTGTTTTCTTGTTTCCATAAACCCTCTTCTCTTCAGTGTGGATCCCAGATGGGCTTTCAAAGGTGTCCTGCTCCTTTATTGTGGTTCTTTGACCTTCTAGAAAGCCTTTGAATTCTTTAGTCTCATTGGCATTCTTTTTCTAATCTGAGTGTTTCTTCCTCATGAATTCTAGGACTAACAGAATTGCTTGGATTGAAGCTGATTTGGCTAGTGATGATTTACTCCGACATATTTAATGCACTTCTCTCCAAACAAAAGTTGTCAAAAGAACATATATATAAATCATTTTTTTCTATAAAAAATACTTAGCACTACACTTTTTATCATGATTTTAAATGGGTAAAAGCTTCTCCATGTGTGTGGCCAAAGATTTTGTAGTCTGATACAAAAAGTGGGTGGCACTTACCAGACACCTTCTCATTTGAGTGTGATCTACATTATTTCCTCATCTTATCTAAACACAGTTCAACATGTGAGCAATTTGAAGCAGAAACTGTGGTACCAACAACCACACGCATGCCATGCATGATCAAGAGCACAGAGATAATTGCTACTCTAATGCAAATGATAATTACTACTGGATAAGGTCTGAAGTTCAAAAAAAAAAACAAGCTTTAAAAGTTTACTGTAAATCAATTGGTATGCAGGTTCTTTTCTTTTGGTTAGAAAAATTAATCTGTACTTCGGGCACATCCTTCCCTTTAAACTCAGAGCAAAATATAGGCAAATTAAACATCCCTGCTTTTGGCAAAAAGGTGTTGGAAAATAAAACATCTGTATCAGTCTGAAATATACAAATTCAACACTTTTTTTTTTTTTAAATCTGTTTCTGGTTTCCACAGCATAGAAGCCTACTGAAGGATGCATACAGAGTGGGAGAAAACACATCTAATCCTGAGGCTAAGGAAAGATAGTTATAGTTTCTCTGCTACCGCAACTGAAAAACACTGACTGTAGTCCCACATGCTTGCAAAAATAAGTGAAATATGTTAAAGCGTTACCTTAAGAGGTGAGGTAGAATCATAGGCTTCCACTTTAGAAACCAAAACCTTACATTCACAATATTTTGTCTTATTTAATCTCAACTATGCTTGAAGAAAAAATAGCTATTAAATTCTTTTAGCAACTATTTGCATTGACAAATTCAATTAAACTCCCACTGTATCATGCATTGATGTCTTTCTATCATGGAAGGATAATGTCACCTTTGCAATCCTTAGGCAAGCTTAAAAGAATGCCTCGTTTTTATTATCTTTCATATATAAAAGTATTTCTGTTGCTTGACGTATCACCAAAAAACACAGAGAATACTTCTCACTTGACGAAAAAAGTATTTAACAAATTGTACAATTAAAGTTGATTGTGTTCCTAAATTACAAGGCATGAAAAGTCTAGTCAGATAAAAAAATCTATTTACTTAAAAATAAAAGGTGGAAAATACATTAAAAATTCAGACATATTGCACGTAGTTAGAATTTTACATCTAGAACTAAATAGCTCTGAAAGTTTAAAAAAAAGGACTGAGGCTTTTGTTTTATATTTAACTTGTAATGGTTACAATTTCATGTGGAAAAAAAAAACAATGAGAGCAAGCATTTTCCTTATGAATTAATAAAATGGAGGATCTATTAACATCTACATCAGTATTAATTAGCAGTTAGCTACTTGGGTATTGTCTCAATTTGATTTGTTTTAATTCAAGTGTAGATCGTACAGAACTTTCTGTTTTAATATATTTTGAATGCCTATTTATATATACATGACAGAAGACTTTCACTAGATTTTTTATGTGATGAAAAACAAATCTCAGTCTCAGTATAACCGCTTATTAAGTTAATAATAAGAGCATCAGCAGCAGCCTCTCCAGGGAATAGCCTCTGGTGGGGGGGGAAGAAAGGGTGACCCACAATTTCTGAACTGTCAGTAAGACAGAGAGGAAAAGGGTGGGGATGAGGTGCAAAGTGAACCTTGGGTAAGAAAGTTTTAGAGAGTTTCAGAATCCCTGGTCAACATTATAATCAAGGTACGATTTTAGCTTTGGTGTATGTAACACATTTCATTTCAGATGAAAACCGCTAAAACTGCTAAAAGTGTACAGATGGCAACACTGAGCTCTGAGAGGATTTCACATCTACCCAGGAAGCTGATGGACTAGGGCAATTACACCACATTTTTCTTTCATCAGGTAGGTGTCCTAGCTTAGACACTGCACCGTGTGCAGCAGTATGCTTGCTCTGCTCTACCAACTCTAACTTATTTTGAGTTACAACACACAAAATGAATGGACATGGGGCATCATTATAGCACTGATGTCCAGCATAAGATCCCACTGGGCACATAAAATGGGGAAACATCCATCTGGAGAGCAGCTCTCAAAATCAGATGTCCCAGCACTACCTGCAAGCCCAGTCTTAGGACTGCATTTATTATCCAGTGACATTTTGGCCAAACTATTATGTCTAAAGGTAACTGGAAGGGTTAATATCATTAGCTCGAATTTTTTGGCTTATGTTGTTTTCAGACTAGTTTTAAAGGAGAGTTTTTGTGTGAAAAAATAACAAGTTCTATTGGCACAGACATGAAATGGACGAGTACATATATTAAGAGGATTAATTACACCCAGATTTATGCACAGACTCATTATCATCAATGCACAGCAATGTTTTCAAAATTAACAAAAGGAAGGATTATGCTTTTGAGGCAGTAGGAAGTCAAACAATCAAGGAGACTAAACTTCTCAAACAATCTTAATGAACCATGAGCGAGCGGGAGACTGCTTACCTTCCACACATGAGGGCTGAGCCCTTGTTGTACCAGCCACCTGCCCTGGGAAGCAGGAGCACTTGACTGTTTGCGATCGCTCCTCAATCCGGTTCTTATTGCAGCAACGATGCACTGCCACAACTTCGCATGTCCCTTGCTTAACTTGGTGCTGGCCTAGTAATTGCAGAGATAAGTGATGGAGAGCAAAATAAAACATCAGTGTATAAAGAAAAAGCCAATACATACAGTCCTACAAGATACTGAGTCCCTTGAATACCCATTTAAGTCCCAAGAAGATGAAGGGATAGAGCGTCTTGTAGGATCTGGCTTATTCCCTAAGTTTATCCTATTCTTACTAATAAAGATTAGTTCAGCATACCAAATCAATTTTTCAGCCAGTCTTCCTTGGCCTTTACAAAACTGCAGGGAGAAAAGGAGATTGGACTAGTGAACTAGACATGTCAGACAAGAAGACGTGGAGAAAGAGCACATTTCTTCCTCTGGCTTTGTATCTTGCATTCAGGTTTTATATTCAATTCTTTCCTTTCACACGCAGACATGATGGACTGGGCAATATTTAATGCAAGGGAAAGTTAAATAGCAGAGAAACCCTCTATCATAACAACATGTAGGTAGGCTTCTATAATTGCAGGTAGGCTATGAATAAAGTAGGCCAAAAAGCTGTCATAGATAGTCAAGTGTTGTCAAAATAAATAAATAAATAAATAAAGCTATATGGAATTCCTGAAGTCCCTCCCAGCCCATTTTGAACAAACCTGTCATAAATTCTCCATCAGTTGTCTTCCTCTCAAGCACCTTTCCTCACAATTCAGCACCATCTGTCTGAGTTTACTCTAAGTTTCCTCTCCTTTCCTCACTCCTGCCTTCACACCTTAACTGTTCTGCTCCTTGTACCTGACTGTTTTCCTCCACTCACCCTCTATCCTGCCTAAAACCCTTGCTCAGAAACCCCATTTTATAAAACTCGTCTCTTCTTTGCATAAGTCATTTCCACCTCCTCCATCTCCTCACTTTTCTGAACTGCTCTCAAGTGCTTCATCTTGCATTTGTCTCGTCTTATTTAAAGCCTTGAATGCCTCTTACCTGTGTTTGTAAAGCTCCTTGTAAATTAACAGCACTATGTGTGTGTGTGTTTGGTTTTATTTTGCTTGTTTTTTTAATAAGTGAGGTAGACAGAGAGACATAAAATTATTCACCACCAAAGTAGTACCGGCTCATTATATGAGAAGAGACATACAGGTATTGGTGTAGGTGTGTGGAATAGTGGAGGTACAGCAGGATAAAGAAAGGAAGGTGAAAGTGAGAGCATTTTTCAGAAATAAAGAGATGCAGTGAAACAAATGAAAACATTACAATGGCAAGCTTGGAAAACTGCCCTGACTCCCAGTCTCTATGCTTGACCCCTTTCCCATACACAAAACCCTTTTGTTTTTTAAAAACAGTACCTGTTACTAGATAGATAGAGAACACCTTGGTTTGATGCAATATGGGCAGGTTCTGTTATTGAATCATTAACTTTACTGTAGTGCTTGGACAGAAATTTTTATGAGTTGATGTAAGTGGAAAATCTAAACCTTAAAAAGAGTTAGGAATACAGTTTAGGCTTCTAAATGGCTTTTCCACAAAAACAAACAAACATCATCAACAACAACAAAAAAACAGGACAGCTTTCAAATATATACGTAACTTTTTAAAAGGTTGGCTTGGCAATGTTCCTTTGCTGTGCGTGGTTTGGTTTCACAAGCTGGAGGGCTTGTGTTTCAAACACAGCTGGAGGGCTGCCTGACTTTTGTTGCCAAATTTGTATTCACAACCACCTCAATGGGCAGAAAACTATGTATATACAATCTTGGAAAGAAAATACAGTCTTTATTTGTGCACTCTAAATGTAAAAAGAAATTCTGTATACAGAGGTGTTTGGTTGTTTGTTTTCCTGGGGAAAAAGCTCCACTGTAGTTTTAAGCAAAATATGCTACAGCAGGAAAATGCATAATGTATTTTACAGAAAGTTGGAAAAATGTCGAAGACAGCATAAAAGTATCGTAGATAGCTACTGCATTAAGTTTATTGGCAGACTGAATTTTCATGCAAGTACCTAATACCATATCATGAAAAAAAGTGAAAAGAGCTACCAGCCTGTAGGAAAGTAGCTTCTCTATAAATCAGTAAGGACAATAAATGCATAGAGAAATTAAATTGGCCACACCACTTCATTCCAAAGTATTTTTCCACAAAACACCTCAGTGCAACAATATTTAGAGAAAATAAATTGATGGACAAAAATTAAAGGCCTGAGCCCAAATTCGTTGGAGTAAACAGGGAAAGTTTCCATTGATTTCCTACAGGGCTTAGAGTGGTGGTCCTGCATTCACTGGAGTTAACAGCAAAATTCCAGCTGACTTGAGGAGAGCAAGGTCACAGCCTGGACTGTCTCTTGAAAAGGACATTTTATAGTGGAGTAAAGAAAAAGCAGAAATTTGCAACTGCTCAAGCCACATTCTTGAGATTGCTATGTATCTCATCTGAGCGACCAAGCAGTCAGGTCTTGTTTTAATTAAAGTCATTATTCACTACACATTAGATGCCAAGATAAGAGCAGAAGCCATTTTGTCAGAAAGTACATCATAAGGATGGACTAGGTCCAGCTCCAGCGATCAATATGTAGCTGAAAGAATGTCTATTTTCAAGACCCAAACCTGCTTCCTTTAGGTGAATAGTCCTGTTAAGTCAATATCAAAATAAATCAAACAGGATTTGACCCTCAGCATACAGTCCAAAAAAAAAAGGAAGGGGGCGATTACTTTCAGTTATTTTGAGTTATCCTGTTTGAATTTTAAAACACTGACTCTGCTCCCATAAAAAGCAAGGAGTCCACAGGCACACAGGCACTTGAAGACACAAAATTAAGTTCCATTACGAATGTGTCCTTTGGTTCAGTGGCTGTTTTACTCTAAACTCATTCATACACAAGCAAGCATATGAAAGTGTCCCCTCTACGTCTGCTGACATGGGTAGGATTCTAAGGTTTAGGAGTACTGCTGCCACGTGAAGGAAGACAGCACTCTTCTCCCTTGTCCCCAGCATGCAGATCCTAAGGAGTAAAAGAGTGAAAGGTACTAAAAAGCCAAAGACATCTGCATGCATCATTTGCATTAATTGGATTGCCCTTGTAATAGTCTTTTCCCTCCTACATGCTCACATCTATATTTCCTCTTGCTTGTTCACGCACATCTTAACACTCTTCATTCTATTGAACACCCATATGCATTTCCTCTTAATATTCAGACACATCTGTGAACAATCGCTGAACAATTGCTAAGTGTTAATGTGCTAGCTCCATGTACCATTCTTCTCAGTATTCAGCAATCTAGAGGACAAGCACTCAGTTTGCAGTTAGCAAAACTCACTGATTATCTTAAAAGTTAACCATCAACTCAAACAGACTATTCTCTCCCTAAATCTATTGATATCTGTTGTATCTACATTCAGGTGCCCAAAGGCAGAGAAAAGAAAGAATATAAGAATATTCTCCTTCACATTTTATTCTCCACATTGCACTAGATAAACCTCCATCTCAAGTTTAGAGTACATTTAAGTTACAGCTGAGAGCGTAAGAACTGAAATACTCAAGAACAGTCTTAAAATATTTTATAATCAATGGATTCTCAGGAAGCCAACGCATTAGAGGAGCAGGGACTGAAGAGATTTTAAAGTGTGAAGATCACAGCAAGTGAATTCTATACCAAGCACATCAGGAAAGACATTTCAGGGAGAACTGCAATGAGAGATAGTAGAAAGCCAAACTTGGGAGAGCAAAGCCCCTTTGGGCTCACTTATAAAAAGCCCACAAATTCATAGCTCTTCACCTGTAAACCTATTCAGATCTGCAACCTAAGGGCTGTCAATATTTGCAGTTGAAATTCAGTTACATCTTCACATTTAAATAAAAGAACTCTCCAAGGAGAGATGCATTTTATCAGCAACAGTACCAGAGAAAGGTTCCTGTTGTTGAACACCTTCTGCATACCAAGAGAGGAGACGTCTGCCAGCCAAGCACTGGGGAGGACAGAGGACGAATCTTGATAACTGTAGAACTCTGTGTTACCTCTGATCAGGAGTCTGGTGCTGGTAGTTTCCTCCTTATCCCGATTTCTTTACAGCTTAGCTTCCTTAGAAATACCAATGCTATTCAAGCTAACTAAGGACACATTCTCTCTCTCTCCATACAGGACACAGACATACCAAGAGAGGGCTCGTTAAAGCAGCCTCTGGGACACTCCCTGCTATGAATTTTTATGCCTTCCATAATGAGATACCTATGGGTAATAACAGCCCTCAGGTGCCCAAGTCCAAAAAGCCTCCAAAAAGCCTCTCTGACCTGAAGAACCGGCTACAGGAATGAACTCTTTGTTACCTGTGTACTTTCCAGCCCAGAAGATAGTTGACTCTGCAGAGGCAGCCTTCACAGTTTTCAGAGAAGGCAGTCATCATCTCTGAAGGGCAAGTACAAACTAGGAATTTATTAGGCTTGTGCCTTATAAGCCAGCACAAGTATAATATGTATATTTGGCTAAATAATCACCACTGAACTGTTTATTCTCAGTTTAATACAATTTTTCTACTAATTATTTGACAAGACCTTGTTTTCATTTTCTTCAAAGAAGTCAAGGCACCACAGATATGCAATTAATGCTCCTAAAACTCTTTGAAATCCTCAAATAAAAATTAAAAATAAAGGAAAATACAATTATTGTTAATAAAATATCAAACATCACAGTAATGCACTTCAAAACTACAAGGAAAATATCAAAAAAGAGGAAGGCTTTCAGAAAGTTGCTAGTCAATTCTGTCCACATCCATTTCATCTCTGTGACTAATTCTAATCACTCCCAAGGAGCACTCTTTCAATGCAATATACATGCAGGCAGAATGCCTTTATCAGAAAACCTTAATCCTGGATAACCTCCTCTTTTTCTAATTTCTTAGCTCAGAAACATATGGAAACAACATATTTAAAGGGAGTTTTTAATCTCTGTTTCTTTAAGCTGCTCTCTTTGATGAGGAAAGCAACTAGTACTGTGAAGAACAGTACATCTAGGACAATATGATCCTAGCTCAGCACATTCTTCACTGAGCCTCAAAACCAGCAAGCT